CTCTCTCTCTCTCTCTCTCTCTCTCTCTCTCTCTCTCTCTCTCTCTCTCTCTCTGTGTGTGTGTGTGTGTGTGTGTGTGCTTATGTGTATGCGTGTGGGTGCGGGTTACCTCGTCCCGAACCTGCCACGCGAAAGATCTGCGTGACCCTGCAAAAACCCTCTTTATTGATAATCATAGCTGGCCATGAAAACCAAGAAGCGAAAAAGATAAAGCGGATGGTCTAGCAAGGTCAAGACCAAATAAAAGCGACGAAAGAAGAGGGCGAAACGAAAACCAAAACAACGAAGGCGAACTTCCGTACCCTCCCTCTGGTCAAAAAAGAGGAAAACAAAAACAGAACCCGAATCCGAACGATCCTTCCTTCCTTCTGTCAAACTTCTCTATTCATCATCGTCCGTTCGCTACTCATCTCTCGCCGTCCATCCCTCTCTTCTATTCATCAAACAAAGAGCGAATCGTATCAATCAATCAGCCTCCGCGCCTCTTCTTCTACCCTGGACCCGCCAGTCCCCGTCCTCTCTTCCTTCGCCGTGCCACTCTATTCCGACTGACCAGGCTGCGGAACCTACCTGCCTCTATACAGAACGGCTCTCTCGTAATTCTCCTCTCCTCTCCCTCTCCTCTCCTCTCCTTTCCGCCCTCTTCTTTCCCCTTTCTCCCAAAACTCCGCTATGCAGTCAACTCAGCGGCATTCTCTCTCTCTCTCTCTCTCTCTCTCTCTCTCTCTCTCTCTCTCTCTCTCTCTCTCTCTCTGTGTGTGTGTGTGTGTGTGAGTGTGGGTGTGCGTGTGTGTGTGTGTGTGTATGTGAGTGTGTGTGTGTGTGTGTGTGTGTGTGTGTGTGTGTGTGACCACCGTCCACCGCCGGCCCCGTCCCCGGTCTATAATCCTATCCCAAGGGTCATGAACTGCAAACCGAACACAAGTACAGAAAACCACGCGCATCCATTATTTATTTATTTGAGCCACGACATCAAGACAGCAAGTTGAAGAATTTCAAGAAACGAAATATGGGCGGGACATCGGCGCAAGGCGCGCTACCAGAAGGACCTTTTTGTGGCGCCACCCGTCTGTCTCTGCCACTGCCACTGCCACTGCTATCGCCACGAAGGCCGCGCAGCGCTCGTGCGTGGCGTGCCTTGCCATAACAGTGCAGAAAAGAGCATAAAGGACCCCACAGCGACGACGGTGACAGAGGAGGAGAATGAAAAAGGCGGTACCTGACGAGGGAAGCAGATTCTACCCTCGGTTTTTTCCTGTTTTCGTCTGCTGTCGTTTCCTGCAAGTTGCCCCTTCGGTCTTTTCTTTTCTTTTCTTTCTGTTTTGTTTCTGCTCTGGTTTTGCCGCCACGGCCGCACACAAAACACCTACCTCTTGCTCTTGTCGCGACCGACCCCAGGCGCCGACCGAGAGCCCAGTTACTTGGATTCTTCGTCATTGGCCGTACATGACAGAGATCGACGGCCACAACTGTGGAATCTCGCTGAGTGCTTTCGCCACTCGATCGATTGCGACGAGGAGAACCGACCCCCCCAAAAAAAAAAAAAAACACCCACTCACACTACGACTTCTTCGATGTATATAACCTCGTTCACGGCCAATTCGGTCATAATAGTCCTCATTAGTGGGTCCAACTCCATACCCTCGGTAAATGTGAAAAAGACGGAGACGGTCAACCAGCCCAGCTCAGGGCATACCTTTTTTTTTTTTTTTAAGTGCTCAGGGCATACTCACATTAACACTTTCCGAAATGAATCTGACTGCAATTACGACCAAACCTGGACGAAGCTGACCGCTATCAGGTCCACAAACAAAGTAAAATAGTCCTAGTGTGACTGAGTACGCCTTGGTAAGGGCAAGATCCCACTGGCAAAGTGGATTGTAGTAAGTGTCTGAATGTGGACGTGCTTGTGGACACGTGCAAAACTTTGTGATTGATCTCCGTTTCTGCATCTCTGCATGGAACACGTCCAGATTCAGACTCTTATTCCAAAGGCTCTAAAGCTGCATTCAGGAGGTCGTGGGTTCGTTCGCGCGTTTCTCACTTACATGCCCGGCCATGCATAGTGCCCAGCCAGCCATGCATGGTGCCCTACCGTCTAGAAAGAGCCCGCAATCAGGGGCTTAGGGCCAGATCCCACTAGCCCCTATGGTTCATTTCTGGCCGTTGATCTTCGTAATCGAGGGTGAAAAATGAATAATCCAGGGTAGTGGGATCTGACCCTTAGCCAATTCACAATCGGGGGGGGAGGGCGCCTCCGGGTCAAGGTTGCCCGAATTTTCGGGAGCAGCCAACAGCCCAGAAAAAGGGATTGAGAAGGGGTTCTGATTGTGCAGGGACAGGTCCTTCGAGATAGGCGACCCACAGTAAGAGTGTAGGAGTGATCCTAGCTTGTCAACGGAGGCCCTGAAAAGGGCCCAAAATCTTCGAAGGGCAGAATTTGCTTAGGCTGCCCGATTTTGAAGATCTGATGCGGGCTGGTAGGCTTGGCCCCAGACGGTTGGCCACTTGTTGCAAAGTGTTGTGCGCACCAAAATATCTCTATTTCTCACGATCAAGAATCCTTGTTTTCTCAACCAAATCAGGTGCTGATTGAGTGATAATCTTTATGAAGCGAAAGAGGAACCAAAATTTCTCCATGGCAAAAAACATGATGCTCGTGAAATAACGTGTTCCCCCCCCCCTAATCCTTCTGGCAGGTTCACATCATTTTGACTCAAAGGGCCAAATGCGTAATGAAAGCGCCTCGCCCAGCTAAAAAAAAACGATGCGGCGCGTTAACGGCCACGTCAAACAGAGGTCGAGGAAGAAAACGACCGGTCCGTCACTGTAGCTGGGCGAGTGACTCGACTATTTGCACAACGAAAAGAAAACGAAAGCAAAAGCAAAAAAACAAAAATTAAAGCATTCACCAGATATCATACTTTATAAAGAAAAAGAAAGAAAGAGAGAGAGAGAGAG